GGGCCCTTTGATGTCTGCCTTTGTATCGTTGATTTCCGTTTTTGAGGCCTTGAAGTCCACCTTGGGCATCTTCACTTCAGGCATCTGGAACGTGGGCAGTTGTCCTGTGGGTCTGGTGACTACACATGGTCCTGAGAGCTCTTTCTCTGGCAGCTGACCCTCAAGTAGCTTCGCATTCACCTCCCCACCCTTCACATCCACATCAGTAGAAGGGAGTTGTATGCTGAGATCACACGACTTGATTTCTTCTTCCATTGAGGAGACAGAGACTTCCACTTGTGCCTCAGACAGAAATACTTCTGTAGAGGCCTCCGTGAACTTGCTTGGTGCAGACGTGCCAAAGGACGACATCTTGAGCTTGGGCATCTTGAATTTACTGTCTTTGATCTTAAGGTCCTTGTCTCCTAGTTTGCTTTTTTCTTCTCCCTTTCCTCCCTCCATGGAAAGCGTGGGACAAGCGGTGTCTGTCTCTGCTTTGGGCAGAGATGTGTCAACATCAAGGATACTGATATCCAACTTGGGTTTTTTCATGTCAACTTTGGGGCCCTTGATATCCATGTTGGGGGTCTTAAGATCCATTGTTGGCATCTTTACACTGGGCATCTGGTATTTGCGATGTTGCCCTTCTAATGTATCACATACATCTGGTCCTGGGAGCTTTCCCTCTGACAGAGAACTCTCAGACAGCTTCATGCCCAATTCAACTCCCTTCATCTCTGTGTGGACAGATGGACGTTGAATGCTCAGGTCACCACTCTTGACCTCTCCCTCCATGGTGGGCAATGAGGCCTCTACTTGGGACTCAGGCACAGATATCTCCACTGAGGCCTCAGTTGACTTGCTAAGTGCAGGCATGCCAAAGGGTGGCATCTTAAACTTGATGTCTTTGGTGGCCAAGTCCTTGTCCCGTAGGCACAAGTCACCTTCCACTTTTACTCCTAGAGTCTGGATATCCATTCCTATGCAAGATAGGGACATGTCCCTGTCTGGGGTGGCCACTTCCCCATTTAGGTCTTTCATGTCCACTTTGGGATCCTTGATATCCACGTGGGGGAGCTTAAAGTCCACTTTTGGCATCTTCACAGGAGTCATCTGGAATTTGGGCTGGAGTTCTTTTGGTGCATCTCTTACGTCGAGTTCTGAGAGCTCCACCTCAGGCAACTGGCCTTCAGGAAGTTTCATGCCCATGTTGACACCCTTCACCTCTCTGTGGACAGATGGGAGTTTGATGCTCAGGTTACCACTCTTGACTTCTCCCTCCATGGTGGACACAGAGGCCTCTACCTCACGCTCAGGCAGAGATACCTCCGCTGAGCCCTTGATGGACTTGCTTGGTGCAGACATGTTGAACGATGGCGTCTTGAACTTGCTGTCTCTGGAAGCTAGGTCCTTATCTCCCAGGGATGAGCCTCTTTCCAACTTGTCACTCGGAGTTTGGATGTCCATCTCCATTCTTGACAGGGATATGTTGCCTTTGTGGGTGGTCACCTCCCCCTTCAGGCCTTTCATATCCAATTTGAGACCCTTCATATCCACTTTGAGGTCTTTGATTTCCACCTGAGGTGCCTTGATGTCCAACTTGGGGGTCTTGATGTCCACGTTAGGTGTTTTGACTCCAGGCATCTGGAACTTGGGCAGTTGCCCTCTGGATCTCGTGACTACATCTGGTCCTGAGAGCTCTCGCTCTGGCAGCTGACCCTCAAGCAGCTTCACCTCCACCTCCCCATCCTTCATTTCCACATCAGTAGAACGGAGTCGAATGTTGTGATCACATGCCTTGACTTCTTCCTCCATGGAGGGGACAGAGACCACTACTTGTCTTTCAGGCAGGGACACTTCTACTGAGGCCTCCATGGACTTGCTTGGTACAGACACACCAAAAGACGGCATCTTGAACTTGCTGTCTTTGGCAGTCAAGGCTTTGTCTCCCCCAGACAGGTCATCTTCAATCTTGATTTCCAGATTCTGGATATCCATCTCCATATGAGGCATGGACATCTCCATGTCTGGGGTGGCCACCTCACCCTTTAGGTCTTTCACATCCACTTTGGGACCTCTCAAGTCCACTTTGGGGGCCTTCAGGTCAATGTCAGGGCCCTTGATATTCATCTGAGAGGCCTTTAAGTCCAATTGGGGCACCTTGACACTGGGTATCTGGAATTTGGGCAAGTGCCATTTTGGTGCATCGCCTACATCTGAGAAGTGGACATCAGGCAGTTTCATGCCCACCTCGACACCCTTCACTGCTGTATGCTCAGATGTAAGTTGAATGCTCATGTCACTAGTCTTGACATCTCCCTCCATGGTGGGTACAGAAGCATCTACCTGGGACTCAGGCAGAGACACTTCCTCTGAGGCCTTGATGGACTTGCTTGGCACAGACAAGACAAATGACGGCATTTTGAACTTGGGCATCTTGAACTTGCTGTCTTTGGAAGCCAAGTCCTTGTCTCCCAGGGACAAGGCTTCCTCCACCTTGACGCTCACGGCCTGACTGTCCTCCTCCATGCTGGTCAGGGATAAGTCTACTTCAGGGATGGTAATATTTCCCTTGAAGTCTTTCATGTCCATACTGGGGCCTTTTATGTCCACTTTGGGGCCTTTAATGTCCACATTGGAGGCCTTGATGTCTACTTTGGGCATTATTTCAGGCATCTGGGACTTGGGCAATTTTTCTTTTGATCTGGTGACTACATCTGGTTTTGAGACCTCTCCCTCTGGCAGCTGACCCTCAAGCAACTTCATACCCACCTCCCTAACCTTCACTTCCACATCGGTTGAAGGGAGTTGAATGCTAAGATCACAAGGCTTGACTTCTCCCTCTGTGGGGGAGACAGAAACTTCCACTTGAGCCTCAGGCATAGACACTTCCACTGACTCCTTGATGGACTTGCTTGGTGCAGACACGCCAAAGGATGGCATCTTGAACTTGCTGTCTTTGGTTGCAAAGTCCTTTTCTCCCACAGGCACATCACCTTCCACCTTTACTCCCAGAGTATGGATACCCACCCATAAACTAGGCACCATGTCTGTAGTGGCAGTCTTATCTTTTAAGTCTTTCAGGTCTAACTCGGGGGACTTCAGGTCAACTGTGGGGCCCTTAATGTCATCTTGAGAATTTTTTAAGTCCATTTTGGGCATCTTGACACTGGGCATCTGGAATTTGAGCAGGTGCCCTTTTGGTACATTGTCTACCTCTAGTCCCGAGAGGTGGCCTTGAGGCAGCTCCATGCTCCCTTCCATACTCTTCACTTCTCTGTGGACAGATGGGAGTTGAATGCTTGGGGGACAGATGTTGACATCTTCCTCCATGGTGGGCACAGAGGCCTTTTCCTTAGGCTCAGGCAGATGTGTCTCCACTGAGGTCTCAATGGACTTACTTGGTGCAGATACACCAAAGGATGACATTTTGAACTTTGGAATCTTGAACTTGCTCTCCTTAAAGGTCAAGTCCTGGTCTCCTGGGAACAGATCACCTTTGACCAACATGCTGGGGGTCTGTATATCTAATTCCCTGCTGGTCAGGGTCAAGTCCACTTCTGTGGTGGTCATCTCTCCTCTAATATCTTTCATATCCACTTTGGGACACTTCATGTCCTCTTTGGTCCCCTTAATGTCCACCTTGGGGGTCTCAGTGTCCACTTTGGGAATCTTGACTCCAGGCATCTGGAACCTGGGCAGTTGTCCTTTAGTTGTGGTGACAACATCTTGCCCTGAGAGCTCTATCTCTGGAAGCTGACCCTCAAGCAGCTTCATGCCCCCTTCCTCACCCTTCACTTCCACATTGGTAGAAGGTTGTTGAATGCTGATGTCACACAGCATGACTTCTCCCTCCATGGAGGGGCACAAGACTTCAACCTGTGTCTTAGGCAGAGATATTTCCACTGATGCCTCCATAGAGTTGCTTGAAGCAGACATGTCAAAAGGTGGCATCTTGACCTGGGGCATCTTGAACTTGCCATCTTTACTCTTGAAGTCTTTGCCTCCTAGACTGCTATCTTCTTCTCCCTTCATGCCTTTCATGGACAGTCCAGGAGTAGTGATGCCCGCATGAACTTCGGGCAGAGATATGTCAACATCGGGGAGACTGGTGTCTACTTTTATTGTTTTGAAGCCAACTTTGGGGCTCTTGGTGTCCACTTCAGAGGCTTTTAAGTCCACTTTTGGCTTTTTTATGCTGGTCATCTGAAATTTGGGCAGGTGCCCTTTTGGTGAAGCACCTACATCTGGTCCTGAGTGTTCTCCCTCTCCATGCTGGGAAGAGACAAGTCCACTTCTGGGGCAGTCATCTCTTGCTGGGCATGGGCAATGTGAGCCGATTCTCTTTCAATGCAGCACCTACATCTGGTCCTGAGAGTTCCCCCTCAGTCAGGTGGCCCTCAGACAACTTCACGCCCACCTTGACACTCTTCACCTCTGTATGGGCAGATGGGAGTTGAATGGTCCTGTTACTGGTCTTGACACTTCCTTCGATGGTGGGAACAGAGGCCTCCACCTTGGCTTCAGCTAGAGGCGCCTCCACTGGGACATTGATGGACTCCATTTGTGCAGACACGTCAAAGGATGGCATCTTGCACTTGCTGCCTTTGAAAGCCAGATCCTTCTCTCCCATGGACAATGTTCTCTCCACCTTGGTGCTCAGGGCTTGGTTGTCCATCTCCATGCTGGGCAGGGACAAATCTACTGCTGAGGTAGTTAACTTACCCTTGAAATATTTCTGGTACTCTTTAGGATCTTTCTTGTCCACTTTGGGGTCTTTCATATTCACCTTGGGGTCCTTGATGTCCACCTTGGGCATCTTGACTCCAGGCATCTGGAACTTGGGCAGGTGCCCTTTTGATCTGGTGACTACGTCTGGTCCTGAGACCTCTCCCTTTGGCAGCTGACCCTCAAGCAACTTCACACTCACCTCCCCACCCTTCACTTCCACATCGGTAGAAGGGGGTTGAATGCTGAGCTCACCCGGCTTGACTTCTCCCTCCAGGGAGGGGACAGAGACTTCCACTTGGACCTCTGGCGGAGACACAGCAACCGAGGCTTCCATGGACTTGCTTGGTGCAGACACGCCAAAGGACGGCATCTTGAACTTGGGCATCTTCAACTTGCTGTCTTTGGAATCCAGGTCATTGTCTCCCATGGACAAGCCTCCTTCCATCTTTACTCCCATGGTTTGGAGAGCCACTCCCACATTAGTCAGAGACATGTCCATGTCTGGGGTAGCCACCCCCTCTTTGATGTCTCTCAAGTCCACTTTGGGGTCTCTCAGATCCACCATGGGGACCTTCAGGTCATCATCAGGGCTCTTGATGTCTACCTCGGGGCCCTTCAAGTCCCCTTTTGGCATCTTGGCAATGACCATCTCAAAAGTGGGCGGATGACCTTTGGGTGCAACACCTATATCTGATCCTGAGAGCTTTCCCACATACAGTTGGTCCTCAGGCAGCTTCACATCCACCTTGATACCCTTCACCTCTGTGTGGACAGATGCGAGTTGGATGCTCAGGTCACTGATCTTGACATCTCTCTCCATGGTGAGCACAGAGGCTTCTACTTGGGATTCAGGCACAGACTCTTCCATTGAGGCCTTGATGGACTCACTTGGTGTAGACATGCCAAACGATGGCATCTTGATCTTGAGCATCTTGAACTTACTCTCCTTAAAGGCCAAGTCCTGGTCTCCCAAGGATAAATTATCTTCTGTCAGTGTGTCAGAGGCCTGGATGTCAACCTCCATGCTAGGCAAGGACAAGTCTACGTCTGGGGTGACCACCTGTTCTTTAAAGTCTTTCCTGTCCACTTTGGGACCTTTCATGTCCACTTTCAGACCTTTTATGTTCACCTTGGGGGCCTTAATATCCACTTTGGGAATATTGACTCCTGTCCTCTGGAACGTGGGCCCTGTGGATCTGGTTTCTACATCTGATCCTGAGAGTTCTCCCTCGGGCAACTGGCCCTCAGGTAGCTTCACACTCACCTCTCCTCCTTTCACTTCCATATTAGCAGATGAGAGTTGAATGCTGTGGTCACCAGGCTCAACTTCCCCCTCAATGGAGGGGACAGAAACATCCAACTTTGTCTTAGGAAGAGACATGTCCACTGAAGTTTCCATTGACTTGCTTGGAGCAGACATGCCAAAGGATGTCATCTTGAAAGATGGCATTTTGAACTTGCCGCCATCTTTCCTCTTGAGGTCCTTGTCTCCTGGAGTGATGTCTCCTTCTCCCTTCACAGCTTCCATGGAGATCCTGGTAACACTGGTGCCTACCTCCACCCCAGACAGAGACACATCAACATCAGGGAGGCTGACATCCTCCTTGGAAGTGTTCAGGTCAACTTCAAGGTCCTCCTGGGGAGCCGTCAAGTCTATTTTGCCCATCTTGATGCTAGGCATCAGAAACTTGGGCAGATGTTCTTTGAATCCAATGTCTATGTCTGGTCCTGAGAGTTCTCCTTTAGGCGACTGGACCTCAGGTAGCTTCACAACAACTTCCTCACTCTGCATTTCTGTGCCAGAAAATGGGGCTGGAATGTCCACATCACCTATCTTGATTTGTCCTTCCAAAGAGGGCACAGAATCCTTTGTCTTGGCCTTAGGCAGGGATGTGTCCACTGAGGCTTTGGTGGATTTCCTTGGTGCAGGCACATCAAATGATGGCATCTTCAACTTGGGCATCTTGAACTGGCTGTCTTTAGAAGCCAAGTTCTTATCTCCCATGGATAAGACTCCTTCCACCTTGGTGCTTGGTGCTTGGATGGCCACTTCCATGTTGGGCAGGAATTCATCTACATCTGAGGTGGTAATTTCTGCCTGAAGGTCTTTGGAGTCAACTTTGGGTGCCTTGATGTCCACCTTGGGGATCTTGACTCCAGGCATCTGAAACTTGGGCAGGTGCCCTTTGAGTCCGATGCCCACAGCCTGTCCTGAGAGGTCTCCCTCTGGCAACGGACCCTCAGGGAGCTTCACGCCCACCTCCTCACCCT